TCAGAGGCTACTTTTAATTCTGTTCTGAGCAGAGAACATTCTTTCACAACAAACAGCCGATATGGCGCGCAGGACAAGGAGAATCTCAACAAGATGAAAAGTGTCTGTAAGGTCAGTTTTATATGGATCTTTGAAGAGTAACATTCTCCACAAGCTGCAGTAGGCCTTGTTATAGAAATGAGCATTGACAGAAATCTTCAGAGAGTGCCACTGGTTGATAACATCCTGGAATTGGCATCCCGCTGCCCTTGGCACTGGATCAAACCAAGTAACCAGCCTTTTGATGTTAGTGTTCCCGAAGGCAATCAATGCTGAATCTTTTACTGGCCAGGAGTCAACATTCAAGACCAAAAGATCTTGGTCCACGGTAGGTGGGCCATATGAGGAGTTCTTGATAGAGGAGCTAGGCATATTCATCAACATGCCAAAATGTTCTTTAAGACCAGCTATACAAAGATTGACAGCCTTGTTGACTTCAGGAGAAACTTAGGCCTGTGCCAGAGGGCTTTACTTTTCCGTCTAGACTTCCTTCCATTTGGATGCCTCGAGATACTATGCGCCCTTCATCATCAGATTCTGCACAGCTTTTCTTATTTGCATATGTTAAGTTAATGCTGAGTTCATTTTTTCTCTGCAGTGAAAGCAACCCTTCAAATATAGAAAAGAATAGTTCTTATTTTGCTACAAAGTATGCAGTGTTTAATTTGATTTCCATTTCTTTGCGTTCTTATGACTGCATGTTTTTCTTTATCTTTGCAAAAGATTGGAAGATCTGACTTTCTGTATTTGTTTTTTTACTTCTGCAAGTGACTTTTCTCTGGCTCGAATATGGCCGTTGCTGTTAGCATGCCTTTTGATCATGTCTTTTTTGAAACTATTACAGCCTTTCAGAAATTCTGTTTGTCCGGCTACACTTGCAGAAGTCATACGTCATCACATTTTATCAGCATGGAAATGTAGCCAATGGTATTGATCTTTCCATCTGAGAAGAAATCGTCATTTTCACTGAGACTTCGTCTCTTTTTCAGTATGCCTTGTTTGCTGTCATCGAGTCTCTCACAGCTACTCAGCTTTAAGTCTAGTTCATTCTTGATGAAAATAACTTTTCAATTTGGCTTTTCTACGTGATTGCTGCAAAAATTCATCTTCAACAGGATTTAAAGGAAATATATAAGGGGCGACGAATTTTTGTCTTTTTACCACAATGCATTGCACATTCATTTATCGCCATGGAATATGCGTTTACATTGTTTTTTCACTGTTCATAGCTCGGTTAATGCGGCTGGCGATCATCTTGCCGGCGGAAGTTTCATGGAAAAGGAATAAAATGAAAGACTTTTCCTAAAGACTACGTAGTCAGTCTCTGTGGTGTAGTGGTTAGGTGTAGTCGCCTCGAGTCGAAGGTGCTGGGTTCGAATCCTACTGAGTTATTTATTCGTTCTTCCTTTTTTTTTCCGTTTTTTGTGTTGTTGTTTTCTATAAATATATAGCTAAATAATTGTTACTTAATAAAGTGCAACAAACAGCAAGAAAAGTATTGTGTTTCCAGAGAAAATATCGTGCATCGTATATTAAATATATGGATAAACGATCTGAATTTCTATTATTTCCTACAATTTACTGTGGGAAAACCAGAGTTGATAACCACGTGATCATTTTTTAAACAACGTTCCCACGAGTTCTTTCTATAGACTGATAGTAATTATTCAGTACTTTCCAACATGTAAATAGGACATTCAATGTCATTTTTGATTCTTTTAAGTCTCACTGCCTAACTAATGCCAGTATCAACAGAATGTGCCGCAGCATTACTATCTTTTAGATACCCTAGTATAAGTGATACGTTTGAAACACACTTTTTTGGTCCAGTGCGTGATAAAATCTCAGATTTTTTCAACTGTAAGAGGAGCTCAGATGATTGTAAAACCTTGTTACCTGATGTCGCTCTGAAAGAAACATTACTTACGGGGGTGTGCAGCCGCTTTGTTACTGTGTGGCATTCGCTTCAAAGAAAACTCTTCTGCTCATTTATAGGGAAACAAATAAGGCTAGAATTGTTTTATTGTTTAGAAGAACTACAAGTTACAATCTCGTTTTTGTTAAAACTTTGTCGAAGCATCCTTTCAGTTTGTCAACGGATACAAAAATGGTTAGAACGGACGTCTTAACCATTTTAACGGATGTTGCAATTGTTCAAATGGATGTTACATCTGCTCCTAATGCCTTTTCTTCTTTGTCCCAGAATAGTATAAAATCTTCAGGTAGCTTCATGCGTGGAATTTTTTGCAAACATCAATTTGAAATCTGAATTGTCTTCTTCATCAAATTCTAGCTTCGCCACTTTAATTTTGTTTTCTGAGATAAGCGTCTCTACGCTGGGCATTCCATTGGAAACACTTCCCGTCCTGCAGCTTTAGGCTTTGTCCAGAAGCTTTCCCTCTTCCTCTGTTTGGTCTGAATTTTCTCATTGTTCCTTGCCAGGGTCAGATTGTGTAGGTATTTGTTCCAGCTACATCTGGGAAATTTGCAATTACCACACATTCCTGATTTGCTTGAAACTCCAACAGGGCCCTCGTATGTTACCGAGCGATGACGAAGGCTTGTTTCTTTCCTCCCAATTGGCCACCGTACACATACCCCTGTAATACCTCCATTTCTATTTTGGCTCTTCCTTTTGGAAACAGAGTCCAAATACAAGATATTGTCTAAATCTGCACCCATCATTGTCAATCTCTTGCGTTACGCACTACGGGATTTCCATTAAGATGATCTTTGTGGTGACACTGATAAACGTTTGTATTCAATTGAAGTGCAAATGAAAAAAATCTGAGTTTTTAAGTATCCTTCAACGGCGATAGAGTATAAATTTAGATTTTAAAGTTTGAAAGAAAGAAATTTGCAGGAAATAAAAAGGAAAAATTTCCATGATATAGGCCAGGGTCGAAAACTGAGCAATCTTTCTGTGATTGTAATAATAATTGTAATTAAAAGTTATGCAAGACCCGTTTTGGAGTACCTTTGAATGGCCTTAGAGTAGAGATTTCAATTTTAAGTTAGAAAGCAATTTGATTTAGATGGAAAGAAAAAATATTTACTGATTTTATTTCCAACAAAAGTGACAAGGGTCGTAAACAGAGCAATCTCTTTGTAAAAATTTGCTTTGATGTTGATAATAATTTCTATTGTTGTATATCTGGAACATATACCAAATCTTTGCAAAAGCCCTGCTAAATCTCAATCTCAATCCACTTCTCTGCAAAGAGAGGATGTTCGGGGGTTATTTAGTTATAGTCATGGCTTTCACTGATGAAATCGTTAATGTGTTGGTTCTTTATAAGGGAAGACTTGAAGCAGTCAACAGAAGAAGAGTTTCGAATGTCGGGGTAGGTAATTCCACTCAGGGGCAGTATGAGGAAAGAATGAAGCTGTGTAACAGCACTTGAGCACAAGGTTGGCAATGGTTCTTTAAGTGGGGTGAATAAATAATCAAACTCCTCTGAATGCCAATTTCTGTGCCTACAACTTCCTCATTTGAAATCCCTTTTGATTTAACGTTACCTTGTTCTGATCATCGTAATTGAAATTCATAACTGCACTTTACACCAGTGAAAAAAATGGCGTGTGATCACACATCCCTTGTTCACGGGTAAAAACTTTTGACCAGTGATCACACAGTCATCACGTCGTGATCATGGAATAAGGTGTGATAGGAAGAGATCACGCCTTGATAGGTGGAAGTTGTGAAACTTCAATCATGGGTTCGCTTAAAATGTTATTCAGGGTTTAATAGTCGTACAGGCGATGCCAAAATCCATATAACACTCTTGCCATATATAGCATTAGTTATTGGAAATGTCTTCTACTACATAAACCGAATACCGCTCAAATCAAGGGACTTTATTTCTTGAACAAGAAAGAAGTGGAGAACTGGAAACTAAGTTTAACCATTGTAAAAGTCCAACTACGAACCCAAGGTCTTTCGATAAGTTTTAATGTTTTATTTTGCTATTATGTAACATTTCGCTATGTGTGTAACGTTGGAAAAAAAATGTTTTTTTTAAAACTACATGAGTTATGCAGGTGTTTTTGAAATCATTTTTTGGTTGTCTTGTTTGCATCCTTAAATGAAACTTAAATTTTGTATTAATTTCAGCCCCTTGAGTTGGAAATTTTGCAGTTGTAACCGGATGGATGCAACATTTTCAAAATTAATTGAGACTAACATAGAACAACTTTGAACATGACTTTTTTGTTACTTGAAAAATTGGCAACAATTGTGTACATATACGTCAGTCAACTTTTGCTGGCTTCTGGTGACAACAGAGTTTCAACTTAACAATTCAGCAACAGCTGCTAACATACAAGTGTGTTCACACGAAATACATTTCAACAGGTGGTTTGGTTTGCAAGTGGGACTGCAAATTAAGGAGTGTAATTTTGGAAAATATTTTTATCCACCAGCCACTCCCAAGGTTTTCATGCGGTGTAGTTTTAGATGTTGGGTCATGCTACTTTAATGTACTAGTCAACTCTAAGCTTTATCATACTCCCTATGCATTTAGACTGTTGGGTTATTGGGTGTTTAAATTCCCCCCTCCCATGGACTAAAAGCCATTCAAATTCCCCTTCCTAGGTCTGTTTCAGGTGACAAATTCCCGCTCCTAGAATTCTAATTGACAATCATTTATTCATTTTGCTCTTTCATGCAAGGAAGGTATTTAAGCTTGAATTTGACCAATACATAACAGTAAAGTACAGTTATTGTACGTATTTATTTTATGGGAATGATATGCAGTGCAGCAAAATATGCTGTAAAACCTGACTGCTGACACAAATCCAAAGATCACTTATTGGTTAATTTCTCCAATAAAGCCATCATTGCCCTTGACTGTTCTTGTTGTTGCTGCATGACCTTAAACATTTGTCTGTTGCTGTTGTGTTTGAAGCTGCTGTTTGGCCAGTGTTTCCTCTTTTCTCTCTCCAATGCTTGCTGTTTGTTTTTGAACAATTTAAACTCTAGTTGTTTCAGTGCGTAAGAGCATGAGAGGTTTAAGGTTGACAAAGTATTATTTTCATGGACAAAAAAACTATTTTATACTCACGTTCTCTACACAATGCCAAACTTTGCCATATGACATTCTCAACATAACTTGGTGGCACTGATACAACTCCTTGGGCGTGTGCACTATGCACCCTGCCTAGATATTTAACTTTCCGTGGCGTCTTAGAGCCGTCGTGTCCTGGATTTTAAAGTCCTTAACAGTGCTAGTGTAATGCAACGTCCGAAACGTAATCAATACTTGAAGGCTATTTGCATGCAAGGCCATTGCACAAACGGATAAAGGGTTTATGGATAAATGGAACTACTGTAGTTATCAGTTCATGCAAGAGAGGATAAAGAGGTCGTGTAACGTTATACAAGTATCGACATCGCATAGCTTTACAAGGTTAAGCCATTGTCGGTTTTTTCACTATTTGGCAAACAAAATTCCAGTCTTGTAATTGAGGTTGCTATTTACACAACACTTTTTTTTGATCTAGCAGGAATGGATTTTACTGATATCATTTTGTTATTTTTCTTTTATTTTTCTGAAGTTTTGAGAATCATTTTCAATTCAGTATATTTTTATCTGGTATAACGTTTTAGACAAATTAGACTGTAAACGATAGAATGCAGAACTGCTAACTAGTGTGTGTAGATGAATGCATGTAGTTTAAATTCTAGTGGACTCACATCAGAATGAACTTATTTGAAGTGTTTCGAGGTACTGGTAAATTGCCAATACATTTAGCTTCTTTCTCAGATATGGCAACTAAGTCCTAAAGAGACCAAACTTCAAGCCATTGCACCCCGATAAGAGAATGAGCATTTAGGAAAATTCGTTTTAGGTGGTGGTAATTGGAGATCATAGTTTGAACTCCTCAAATTATCGTTGTAGACTTCAGAGGTTCTAGGTAAGCGCTTTCGAAGATAGTTCAGACAATTATTATTGAACACTTTACACATAATTATAACACATAATTAACACTTAACACGTAATTAACAAGAATCTAAAGCCCTGTGCAAACAGATGCAACATTGTTGGCCAACAACTCCCAACATTGTTGGATGTTACATGTTAAGTCTGTTTGCACACCCTGTTGCATGTTGTTGCACAAAGTTTGAAACGAGTCAAACTTCTCAGCCAACAACCCCCTAGTGCAACAATGTTGGATCCCTTTGCACAGCTCTTCCAACATTCTTGGAATCAATGCTCATTACACATGGTTTACAAAGACTTATGGGTTGTATCCTTTTCACGATGCACTGCAGGTCCCAACATTGTTGGGATTTGTTGCATCCGTTTGCACACCACTGCCAACAGGCATGCAACAACTCCAAACATTGTTGGCGCAACAATGTTTAGAGTTGTTGCGTCTGTTTGCACGCAGCCTTATACATCTGATGATCTGATAGAGTAATCAGTCTGAGTGATATCTGTGCTGTCCTACTTTGCAACTTGTGCATTTTGTTAGCAAGTATTTTGGAGCAGACACATAAATTGAAATTTGTTTAAAATTATTTTATATCAAGCCATTTTTTCGGTAAGGACGCTGAAAACTTTGCATTGCGTGACCAAGGGCTCTGCGTGGCAGCGCACTTGTTTTCTGAGGAGATAAACACAGAGTCGGATGTGGTTGGAGAAAATTTGGCCACCTAAGGTGACGAACTTTATTTTCAGGTCAAGATCTGGCAATATATAATAAACTAAATATCTCTTCAGCAAAGGTGGGGAGAAAAAACGGCCGGCAAGACAAGAAAGAGAAACACACTAGGAATTAATTCGCAGGCAGGCGGAAGGGGAGGTGGTGGAAAATGCTGAAAATTGGTTCAAACCAGCAATGTGAACGTGATGGTGAGCGATCGAAAGGGGGTGAGCGCATGGAAAAGCGCGCTCAAGAACGATATAGTCCTGAACACCTTGAATTCTGATTGGCTGGAAATAAGATAGGCTTGGAACCTGCCGCCTTGGCCTGCAAACCATTATCAAATGCCTTGCCATAAAATCCCATTATAATGTTGTCATAACGGTGTCTTAATATCAAGCCATTTTTTCGTAACAGGGACGCTGAAAACTTTGCATTGTGTGACCAATGGCTCTGCGTGGCGGCGCACTTGTTTGCTGAGGAGATAAACAGAGTCGGGTTTGGGTGGAGAAAATTTGGCCACCAAAGGTGACGAACTTTATTTTCAAGATCTGCCAATATATAATAAACTAAATATCTCTTCAGCAAAGGTGGAGGGGAAAAAACCTCCAAAGAGCTACAGTGTGTGGCACACCCCCCTCCCCCCCAAGACGCCACCAGAGCCTGTGGGCAAGTAGGTCGGGAAGTTGCAGCCCTTGCGTGACCAACTACACCAACCGACTAGAGAGCTATTAAAGCTTAAAACATGAAACCTTTATATTGCGTTAAGAGATGATGCAGCCCCCGTCTGACCATCACTCTTTTTTTTTTTTTGATGCAGCGAAACAGACCCTGCAATGAAAAAACGCACTGCAGAGTCCTTGTATGAGATGATGAGGCCCCTGTCTGACCCTGTCATCGCATACACAGGCGGCATTGTGAAATGTTACGATTTTATAAAGTACTACAAACACGTCATGGTGCAGCCCTTGCGTGACCACCAATTAGGTAGAAGAGCCCCTGAGTGGAGCGAAAAGTTTTACATGACAGACAGGATGCATGCCAGCCCATGTCTGACCCAGGTGAAATTAAATTCCTTGTAATGTAGAATTATGAATGTAAAGTTTAACGGCATGAGACTCATCGGCCAAGAGCGCAAATCTGGGCATCAAAAAAACCTTTGTCTGCTGCAAGACAGGCCGTGCCGATGCGAAAGCTGTGACTCTTATAGCGTTGAGCATTCCAATCACAGAAAGTTAAGCAGCACCTAAGTGCAGTGTTAACCGTAATGAGTGTATTGTCTGCATGGCAGAAGAGGGGACCGGGCTTGTTACCCCGGAGATTGCAATACCGGAGTTTGAACTTCACAGGACAAAATGGTGAAGATTCATCACCGGGAATAACAATGTTAAAAGGGCGATTGCTTGTATTATGTTTGAAATGGGTGATTGTGGATTTTCCCACCGGATGCGAGGAATCGGATGTTATCGTACGGTATTATGGTAGTGTGACACGCGCTCCTGGCCGCTAGTTCACCAATGCGAAAGAAACCGTAGAAAGCTGGGAGAAACATGGCTGACAAAAGTATACGCTGTACTGCCGAAGAGTTGGTGTGCTGGAGAGAGCTTACGAGGTCATGCAAGATAAGTTTAGATATCGGTAACCTGACATCACAGGATTTCTAACGACTGACCGAGGTCAAAAGTTTTTGAATAAGGAAAGCCTTTGTGGGGTGATACAAACCTTTCATCTTGTGGACGTATCCGCTAAGAAGGAAATTAAGCCAATCCACCTTTATGGGTGTTACTGGCTTGTGCAGCGACGTTTGAAATGCCTGCTTTGACGGGGTGTGTTTTAGATTGGCTGGAGGAACACTGTGCGGCAGGGTGTTTTGAGCCACGCTTATAGCAAATGTGTTCAAAACGGCATCCGTTGCACACCTTCCCCTCATGGAAACGCCAGCATGTGCCTCTTGAAAGGACTGGGAGCGGAGCGCAGTGGTCCCTTGTCTGAGGAAAATTAGGTTTTCGGACGAAAATTTGTTACAGCTTTTAGCCAAAGTTCCCAGTGAATAGCGTCCCATGGGTATTGTGGAGGGGCTGATTGCCTTATGAAACGAAATTGTTGGTCATAATACAACCAGTCGCCTAGTTTTGCGGCGATATCGCGGACAATTTCACAATATTTCATCAGCTTGGGTGTGTCCATGGGTAGTTTTTCCAAATAGATCGCAAAAAAAATATTAAATGTGGAGAGCCACTGGTTGATAGTTTGGATCTTTTTAACTGGTTGGCTAGGTTCTAAAGTTAAGTGAGGGCGGGTGGTCTCACCATCCAAAGAGGCGAGAGACAGAGAATACTTTTGATTATTAGGAGAAAACGAGAGGAGAGTTCGAAAATCATGATATTCGTTGGAGTGGATTTTGGCCTTGACTTTGGAACTCACCCGACTGCTAAGAGAGACAGCCATGCTAGAAAAAATTTGTTTCGGAGCCTGTGAGTCTAACCCAGGCTCAGCTAAGGTGACAACGTTTTTGCTACGTGGTGGAGTACCTTGGGTGATCTCGGCCAAGGCTGCATTCACCATATTGGCCACTGACTGGTCCGTGGAGGACTCTGTCTCCTGGCTAGGTGCGGCTGGCCATTGCACTTTCATTGCCTCCGCGACAGCTAGCTGTACTGCGTTAGAAATCGAGGCCGAGAGGGCCTGCATGTTAACGGCCATGAGAGACTGCTCTATTGAAGTTCCAGCTTGTTGTTGATCACTTGGTCCAGGGCGGGTTTTGATCAGTTCTGTCGCACGTGCCCGCTTTGCAGAATTTCGTGTGCGTGTTTGAGACGGTCGCTTCGGCTTAGGAGGCATAACTTAGATAAGTAAAAGTAATTAGATTAAGATAAGGCTAAATGCCATATGTTTCCGCTAAGATAAGATAAGATATCAAAACGGTATGAGTCAAAAGGGAAGCAAATTAATTAAAGGTCTGAGTCTGGATGTTTATTTTTCCTTTGAGTTTTGTTTTTTGTTTGTTTGTTTGTTTCTTTTTTTTTTAACAAACGGTAATGTGGCTAAGCTACGCACACATAATGGTGACGAATAACCGAACTCTACTGAAAACCAAATTGCGAGGCATGTGGCAAGAATTGAGTGACAAATGCTTGGTAAAAGAATATCAAAGTACATTGAGGACACACCCAATTAGGGGCGGTCGAATAGGATTGCACACTCATAATATTTACCAGGACAAAGTATGAATAAGGCCAACGCCAGCAAATACAATCTGTTATGCACGAAAGGCAAACAACAGCTCTGTAGAACTGTAAGAACAATGAGTGCAGCTAAAATAGAACGCGTCTAATTAAATAAAGGCGGCAAGTCAGTAACATAAATGGCTGTCACTAAAACAAAGGCATGGCAAGGCAAGGACGTAAACTTTAAAAGGCTTGATTGGGAAATGAAATAATGCAGTGAAAATTCAACAAGACGAGATTGTGCTGAACAGGCTCAAGGACCTTAGGATTGCTCCCCTAAGACTACGATGGTATTTTTCCTTACCCAAGGAGTTGAGATGCACACCATCACGTGTGTCAAAGTTCTGAGTTGGGTCCCAAAACCCCCTATGGCCCCAAAAAATAGCATAAAGAATGGGCTCTAAAACTACCCAAAGGTATTTTGTTAAAAGCTTGGCCTTACAATTTAAGACCACTGCACCCTGGCGCATGATGGTCTGGCACACGCAGACAACCCTAACACCATAGGTGTCATGCAAGAGCCTAACAAAATCTTTAATAGCGGAGCCAACATGTAAAGGGTCAAAGTCTGTCAAATCATAGGAACCCAACTGCATTATAACTATCTCTGGTCAAAAGGACTCAATAACATTCAAGTCAAGATGTAGCGTTTTGGAAACCGTACGGCCACCGACTCCGTGCCATTTTATAAAGGCACGGTGAGATAACGTGAAATCAACGCTAAAATGGTAGGAGTCACGGGACAGGAAAAGGGGCAAACGGCGAATAAAAGAATCTCCCAGAACTAAAACACGGGGCTCAGCCATTGAATAACAGGAAAGATAAAAGGAAAAGAGGGTACTTGCCTAAAAAATGCTGAAAATTGGTTCAAACCAGCAATGTGAACGTGATGGTGAGCGATCGAAAGGGGGGAGTGCATGGAAAAGCTCGTTCAAGAACAGTATAGTTCGGAACACCCTAAATTTTGATTGGCTGGAAATAAGATAGGCTTGGAATCTGCCGCCTTGGCCTGCAAACCATTATCAAATGCCTTGCCATAAAATCCCATTATGATGTGGTCATAACAGTGTCTTTAAATCACTATTTAAGAACCATTTAGTTGTGGAGATATTTTCATGAGCTGTAGTTATATATGTATAATCAGCAAACATACCAGGTGTTGTGTGGTGTAGACATTAAGGAAAATCGTTTTTATAAATTATAAACAAAAGTTACCCAAGAATAGAGCCCCGGGGAATGCCACATAATACATACCGTATTTTCTCGACTTAACGCCCTTTATTTAAAACTTGGCCTCAGGGACCCGGCGTTTATTAATCGGGGTCCGGCGTTTATTAATGAAGTAAAATTGTCATCATTTTTTGGTTGATGTATTATTTCACCTTCTTTGAGATCCGTGAGCAGTTTGTCAAGGCAGGACGATTTCTCCCTTGGACCCGACCTGACATAATGTCCCTGTATCTCATTCATACGGCATTACATATGGCACGTGTATATTGTAATCAGTATTTATGCAAACAGAACAAAACGTTTACAGTTTAAAAACGGCAATGTCGCCAACGTCCTTTATGTTTGTATCAACAAACGTTCGCAATAATGTTTGTGTTCTAATAGGCTTATCTTTGTGGACAACAATCTCATTAGGTTCTTCTTCGAAAATGTCCGGCTCTAAGTCCGCGAACGAGTCATTTTCATCTGCGGGAGCACCTTGTTCCAAGGCAGCATAAAATGCCGCGGCCCTTTCAGTAAATTCCTCCCTCCCATTGCTTAGTGGGCCTTCTTTCTGGAAACAGTGGATTTTCTCATCTTCTGATCCGTCAATGGGTAGCGAGATCGCACACACTTTAAAACTCTTCTTGATAACGTCACTTGGGAGGCTTTCCCAGGCCGCTAATATTCTCTCAACACAGTTGCGCCTTGAAGGTGCCTTATGCGACCCGCTGGAGTAATTTCGTGCTTGGTTTCTGCCATCCAGCTATTTGGCACAGAGTCTTCATTGGCTTTTTCCAGGACACATCGGGAGCCTGGTTGTATTTCGTGCACCCACCAGGAACCAGCGCTGCATCGACGCTAGCCTGTCGTAGGGCTTCTTTGACTCCATTCGTCATGTGGCATTTGCATGTGTCCCAGACAAGAAACCTCGGAGCAAATGAGAGGCGGCCGACAACACACTGAATCCATTCTTCTGTCAGGCTTTCATTCATCCAGCCATTGGCTGAGGTGGGAATAACACATTTTCCGGATAATTGCCTGTCTTCATTCTCTTTACAGCTCTTTTTCCACCATTGAAAACAATGAATGGCTTAAGTTTATGCCCATTTTCAATTTTGTTTTGTTGTACAGCATGTACATCACAGTTAATGTTACGCCAGACTTGTTCGTTAAGCATTATCTAAATATCAAAAGCAGTATACTGCACAGTACGTGTCATAGCAGTGCTTTTCTAGTGAATATCTGTACTTCTGGGCTTGACGCAAATAAACGCTGGGATCTCGAACAAACGCCCCCGGCATTTATTTAAAAATTAGCAGTTTTGACCTGGTATTTAAATGAGGCCGGCGTTTAATCGGGGTCCGGCATTTAAATGAGAAAATACGGTATTGTTCTATGGATGCAATCACATGTAATCACTAACACCATTGTGTTAGCATACAATCTAAAAATTACTTTTGTTGCACATTGGGGAAAAAGTCTATCAATGCATCTGAAACTTCATTAAAAAAATAAAAACTTTTTACCGTGATTTGGCCACAGGTAACCCAGGCTCACTGTTTGTGTGACATACGATTTTTGTAACATAAGTAAATATAGAGAACATATAGGGCGAAGTTTAGGTCTGGAAATTTGGTAGAAAATGGAAATAAAAATCGATGAAACTTACCATGTGGAGAGTTGTTGTCCTTAATGTGTACACAAAGTTTCTGGAAAAATAGTCTGCTTCACCTTTTCTTCATAGTATAGTGGCAAGTTAGGAGGCTGACGGCAGCGTCGGGGCTCCGATCGACCCTCAACAAGCTCTTGAGCAAGGAGTACTTCTATGATTTAAGCTGCTTGACATCTGCACGACAAGCAGTGCATGTGAAAGGAAAAGTTCAGTATGGTCAGGTTAAGTGTCATGCCAAAGTTTTTCAGCAGTGCCAAACCGAGTTTTTTGTGATCACTCTTGTGAGTGCAGATCCCAGACATTTTATCTTGCCATCATAAACTTGATGGAAACCTCCAATGCTCAGCTGGCGGACAATGACTTTAAAGAAGCGACAATTCCCCATACAATACCAGTGAAAAAAGACACGACTTAAGTAATTGCTTTGCAAGTTTCGGTTGTTTCGGTTGTCTGTGTTCAGTAAATTTTCTCTCTCTCTCCAAACAAATTTGAGAGAGACTAAATTGAAATATAACAAACTGATTAAGCTATGAGAGCAAGTGTTGTTGTGCTGGTTTTTCTGGTTGGGTTCTTTTCTGAAATAACTTTATACATTTGAAACCTTACCATTTCCTCTTGCTCTTGGGCTTTCTTGTCACTAGAAACAAGATGCTCTTAGTAAAGGAATAAGAGAAGATATTGCTGCTTTGCATAACAATCGAAGTTGTGTGACAGATGACAGACTCGAGGTGCCACGTTTTTTTTCCTATGTGTTCTTAGCCTTTAAATTTTGTCATTTTTAAGAGAACACTTCGTATTTTTTCCTTTTTTAAAGGCTTAAGTCTTGATTCAGTTACCTAAAATGTACGTAGAATGCTTTCGACAGGCAACTGAAAGATGCCACTGCAGGAAAAAGACAACAACTAGGGAGTTTAACGTGTCCAAATTTTGTATGGGTGGGGGTCGTATTCCTATCCTTAAAAATATGTTCTTCCCTACACATTGCAATGTGGCCCCTCATACATCGAACTTTAAAAAAAGTCACTGTCTCTGTACCATGTCTTGAAATTTTAGTGTAATTATTATAAAAGTCCTTGTTTCCTTAAACTGTTACATTTCAATTGATTTTGAAACTTTTCAGGGTGTTTTGGGGGCTGTGAAGTTTGGTAAAACATGAGCTGCAAGCGTTTCTTCCTTCTTCATGAGTGCTTTTGTGGCTTTCTTGAATCCTTCATAACAGGCCAAATCACTGGTAACCCAGGCTCACATGAGTAAATATAGAGAACATATGGGGCGAAGTTTAGGTCTGGAAATTTGTTAGAAAATGGAAATAAAAATTGATGAAACTTACCACGTGGAGAGTTGTGTTGCCCTTGATGTGTGAAGTCTCGGGAAAAATCGTCTGCTTCACCTTTCCTTCATAGTATAGTGACAAGTTAGGAGGCTGACGGCAGTGTTGGGGTTCCGAACGACCCTCAACAAGCAGGATTTTTATCACTAAAATCGAATCCAGTCACTAAATGAACACGCCAGACTCGTGGAACAAGAATTTCTCTAAACCACAAGTCCACTGAAGCAGCTCCAGTCAGCAACACGAAGCCAGCAGGCTCCGTAGAACTTGTACGCTCCACTAAAACACCTTTATTTTTCTGAAGAGGATAATGTTTGGGGTTATTATGGAAATCTTACTGAATTACGGTACTTAAAATTTGCCAAGGCCTTGGCATGAGAGTACGAATTTTCATGTAATTAGAATTCTTAACTTTTAATCTTATTTCTTGCATTCTATATACATTGTCAATCTTTGATGTATACCATAGTAAGATTATGTATTTTAGTATACACGACCCCTCAAGCAGTTAACTGCTTTTATTCTGATCATGTCTAAATAAAGGATATTCATTCATTCAAAAAGAAATGAATAATGTGTTGGAGAGGGTACGATTGAAAAGGTTTAATATAGTGTAAATTGAAGTTATGAATATATGAAAATCATATATCAATCAATCAATCAATCAATCATTTATTTTAACACGTTACATCAAAGAGCTAAAAAACTCGTTCAAAATACGAACGTGTATGGATAAAATCTATAGTAATTACAGCTATATAATATTATTCAATTTTTAAAACAACTCAGTAAATATATACATATAAAAAACTTGGTAATAAATAGGTAAAATATAAAAAGTTAAAACCGACTAAAAAGCCACATACTAAAAACGTGACTAGGAAAACTATAATACTCATTCTAAAAACAGTTAAGAGCTACAATCGTGCACTATAAGACACGTTCTAAAAAGCTACAGTCGTGCAATTTACTTCTGAAGTCGTTAGCCTCTCTTGAAAGACGCACTTGAGAAGGCAAACTATTCCATAACTTAGCTTAGCTAATATATGGGAACTGCGGGTTGAAGAATTGTTTAAAAGATGATCATCGCAGTTATAGACACAACTTTTGCATTTTCGATTCTGGGTCGCCATTTTATTGTCACCATGCAGAAGTTTAGAAATTCAAACGTTCTCTTTTACTAAAGAAAGCCCTATCAAACTGAAAACATTATAAACTAGATAAAATATAATTTAATATTAACAAAGATCTGATACGGGGTATATAGTTGTTCTGTTAGTGTTCTGGTAAATGTGCAGACAAAGTTTTGGAGGAAGAGGAGGCAGAGTAGGTGTTGTTGTTGCTGATGGTTGAGGTAAAGACGGTAGTGTTGATGATGATGATGGAATAGGTGATGGTGGTGCTGTGTGGGGAGTAAAAATGACACTTGTGTTGTTTGATGTAGGTGGTTGACTGCGTGGAAATAATAGACGGCGGACGTCAAGTAAAATTAAAGGCTGAAAAACAACTAAACATTTTAAAGGTAATGAAGCTGCAAGGATGAGATCGTGTGTTGAAAATGGCGCTGAGTTGAAGAACGGAAAAAATGCTGATGACGACGACATAAGGACAGAGACAGGAGAAGACGCAGTTCATGGCAAGGCTGGAGAAATACAAACTTGAGGAGGAGATGGCAGTTTTGAGCAGTTCAGGGTGGATGGCCATACTATATTGCTTGTGCGAAAAAGGTGAATACAGGATGATTTTATGGCAAGGCAACGGTGGTGGCATGGTTGAACCTTGGCAATGTGAAGAAATGCAAAAAACAAATGTAGAGCAAACTAAAATCTGGGCATACGGCAAGCAGCTTGAACTAAATAGTGGCTTGAAGTGCTCAATTATGAGGTCATTGTGGACTTGTTCCTTGGAGCTCAATGCAGTTGAATTGTAAAAAGTGCACTGACCTTTGACAAGGTCAGTTACTTTAAAACATTTCTGCACCGGTGCAGGATTCGAGGCCGAGGTAAATAACATGGAAATAATAAACAAGGTGAACTCCATTGTGCACTGTGGTGGGCTTTTGTCCACCAGCATGGTGGACGCGAGTTACATAAAAAAATTTGGTCACATGGTTGAAAACGAAGAATTTAGTCTTAGTGTAAATACAGAAGGTTATGTTTTATGAAGGTTTACCTTTTTGTCTGGTTTCTGGTGCTAGAGAGGTTTGCATGAAGGCTTGTATAGTCTGAGGAAATAGCGTGGGTTACGTGATTCCATTGATTACGCCAAGTTTTTTTAAAAATTCAAAAAATTGTATCTGTCTCCAGTACGTGTTGCGTGCTAAGAAATGCTAAAGGACTGAACATTTGTATACTTTAAATTACTCCTATATGCGAGCAAAACGCTTAAGTATGTTCGTTAGTTAGACCGTTAGTAAAAATTACAGATGTAAAAGCAGCAGAGGATGCTTAGACAACAAAAAGGTTATCAAATCTCGTTCTATTACTTCTTGCTTGAGGAGTGATTTACAAAGAATTGACAAACTATATGGTAGATTACCTAAGTGCAGCTTTGAGCTGTACAAATTGAGGAAGGAAGTAGATGTTGAATACATATGTTTGCAGTGTGGTGACATTTTAAGACAAAAGACAGGATTTTGTAGAGAAAGAGAACGATATAGAGCTGGAGATGGCTCCCCGAAAGAAATCTGTGGATGACATTGTAGCAAGCAGGACGAAATTAGTTACCTCTGAAATAATCCAGTGGAAAAATAAGAAAGGGAGAGACTATTTATCTAAACAGAAGGAGAGAAGACATATTAGAGGAGGCCACGTGATAGTTGGAGAATTGAAACTCACCTTGAGTTGTTATTTTTAAGCCTGTAAAGGAAAGGGATGCTGTAAAGGAAAGGCAGCGGGACAGACTGAATTTGCATACTTTTTACACGGCGTGGTGTAACTAGGGATGAAAAGCAGATACTGAACTATGGTGGTGGATTTGTGTTGGAAGGAAATCCCATACTAGATGATAGGAGGAAGCACCACATAGTGAAATGCTAGACTGAACTGGCTGTATTAAGTTACGTTGAATGCTTAGCAGGTTTAAAGATGAAAGGCAGGAGAATGAGAGGGGGAGGTAGTCGGGTGAATGTTAGGAAAGAAATTATGCGTTACCTTTTCCATCCCAGAGTAGGCTATCTGGAGAGAGAGTTTCTTAACAAGACTTTAAAATTAGCTGATTTTTATTCTATCAAGTCTGTTAGAAGTAATCCTTCTCTACAGGTTAAAGGGACGAGCAGGATACAAAGAGGGTTAAAACTTTTAGAAGATTTGAGTCAGGATAATGCTTACATTTTATGGGAAAGTGATAAAAACTTTGGTTGGTCTCTTAATACTTCTACTTGGTATAAACAGGAATATGATAGGCGTTTAAAGTCTGGCTTTTACCGAAAAGTTGGAAACATGGGGGATGTAGACAATATTAAACACTCTTGTCGGTGATCTTTACAGGCTATTTTAAAGAAATATACAGGGGTGCTGTCTACTAACAGAAAAGTTTTTACTTAGGAAATGGTATAGAGGATGACATTTTACCTAGCCTGAATCTATCCCCTAAGGTACATAAATTGAAAGAAAGGGCTAGTACTGATAATGAAAAACTGTTAACAGGGAGGCCCATAATTACTGGGTATGGGTGGTGTACTATTGAGGCATCTAAATTTTTGCAGAGGAGATTGAGGTCTATTTTTTTGGCAGATTTAAGGATTATTTGATTAGCAATTCTTTACCTTAAACTAAGACAAGCCGTCCCAATTTTTGGCAGTAAAGTATGGAATGAGATACCAGGTAGAATGAGAGATATGTCAAAAAAGTGTTCAAACGAAAATTAATCAGTGAGCTCCTCGAAATATTAAAAGACAAAGATGATTACCTTGATGCAACCATGATAACACAAGAAATAAAATCGCGAAATCCTAAACCTTAGCCTCTTTCACAGGTTGCATTAAACAGATTTGTCTTTCTTGCTTTTGAATTCATTACACATATTTCTTCTTGTCTTCTTCTTTGCTTTTGACTTATTATAATATAATATCTGATTTGTAATAGAATTAATTTGGCACGCCTCGATTAGCGTTTTCTTGCTAACTGCGTGCCAAACAATTGTACTTGTAATGTTAGAATAATAAATGTCTTGTCTTGTCTTTGATTAGCAATTCTTTACCTTATTCAATTTTAGGGAGTAGCTATGAATTAGTGGGTGTAGTAAAGAGGTCTAGCCTTAGTTCATTGGATGGGTGTACCTTTTTAACTTTTGATTTTAAGGATTTATATACAAATATACTGTTTAAAGATGCTAGTACTACATTGAAGGAATTGGCTTTAATTCTTGGAATTGAGAAGGCGGAAGTGGATTGTTAATTAGATCTATACTCATTTGACAACACTTGGAATTATTTTAATGTGGGTAATAGTTTACATAAACAGGTGAAGGGGGTTAGTATGGGTTGTTATTTTAGCAAAGAAATCAGTGATTTAGTTTTGTTATATTCTGAGTATAAGTATTTTTTAGTGCGTGACACTAAAAAGGTAATCTTTTTGAAGAGGTATGCTGATGATGGGATTATCTTGTTTTCTGTTAGGGACAGCACAAGCATTTTATCTGAGTTAAGGAAAATTGTGCTTTTTCACCCAAGCAATCTCGTTATAAACATTGTTTTAAATTTTGTTACTTGTCAGTTTTTGATTGAGTGTTGATTTTGGATGAGTTTACTTAATCTTCTAGGATTATACATTATTGGACATTTTTTAAGAAATTTCATAAATTTGCTTATTTGAATCCTAAATCTAATCACCCTAAGCATGTATTTAAGGTTTTAATAAGGACTGAATGCATGCGTTATATTAGGAATTCTCTGTGCGAGGAGGATTACAACTTTACCTTAAGATTGTTTTATCAGCGCTTGTGAAGGAACCTAATTAGTTACAAAGAGGGGTTGCAACGTATGGAATCAACAAGGACGAAAAAGAATTTAACTGGCTTATTTGTTTATCCCTTGTCTTATGATGAGGTTGGTTGTGTCTAAATCTGTAGAGAGAATTTTAACAAAGGCGAAAGGAGGCTTGTCTCGGCCAGTGACTTTTTTCATTCCCAAGAGAGTGAACACTAAATTGAGGAATCTGTTTTGTACTAGAAAAATGGTGTAATACTATAGTTAATTGACAATACTGCTGCTAACGTTGACAATGTTGTTTGCTTGTTTCAATACCGTTATTAAATATTAATGTATTATTAATATTATTATTATTAATTTTTTTATACATGTTGTATAATAATATTTACGGTAACAACATAAATAAAAGGTGGCTTATTAATGTGATTGTGTGATACAAATTATTAACAAGACCATTGTATAGAAAATGATGATGGAAATGTGACTGGGTTTTACAACCATTGTATCTCGCCCACAAACATCCCTCTGTGTTTTTACAAGCACCCGAAAGGATGCATGGCGCACTAGTGCAATGACCTTCTCTAGTAAACTAAGCTGACAGATCTTGCGCACAGCTGGCAGTTTAAGGGAAGGACGTGGTTGCCATATACCAGAATAGGCCCTTGGGACAAGAAAGTTGTATAAGCGTGCTCTAAAGTAAAGCAAAATTATGGCCTGAGCTTATCACACATAAAATAATGTTATCACCATCTCAATATTTGAAGAGTACGAGAGTTTCCAGAAGGTTGTGTTTCTTAAAATCAGTATGAACAGAAAAGAAAAACAATGTGGACATGTGTAGTCCACATACCATAAATGATTGATTAAGAGCTTATTTCATTTTCTCTGTTATAGGTGCGGCGCTTATGCAAGAGCAGCACTTATGCAAGAGCGGTGCTTAATTCAACTACGGGTAGAACACTGAAGGGAATAAAGAGGGAATTAAGTGAGATGTGTACTAGGTATGTACCATTTAGTATATGATATGTACACCTCAAACTGTCAAATGAACCGGGTTTAAAGAGTTTCCCTACATTAAAACTTTAGAACTCACGAGTTGGTTGAGGTCTTATTTCTCAAGCGATATGTTAAGCGCTGTAACAAAGGTGGGGCGCAAATTTGTAAATACCCAAATAAGGGCCACCGGGCTTATTCGAGAGCTACGCTTATTCGAGTAGTGGTGCTTAATCGATCATTTATAGTATTAGATTATTTTATAAACCTACATATAGGTGTGTACAGAAAATGAAGAGGTACAATGTACATAATTTACGACACTTAAAGAAATTTTTTTTTTTAACACTTACATGTTGTACTCAATTCAAGCCAGCGTACAAGAACATGCTATGGCTCATTTTCTTTGTTTTTAAGTGTGGTACTCTTTGATAAAGAAATTAAGAAATTTGAAATATAAAAATTTATCAAAACATGAAAGAACAAAACTAAGCACAACAAATACTTGAAAATGCACTGACCAGATGCCCAGCGGCATATAAGTGGCCCAAGAAAATATGGGTGTGTAAAATAAACCCAAAGTTTTAAAGCGTATCGAAATACAACAGGGCCCAGTTGTTCCAAGGCTGATTAGCGCTTAACCTGGGGTTAAATTAAACTTAGCTTTCTTTTTCTTGTTTATTTTTCTTGGTTATTGTTAGAGCTTCCAATCATCAACTTGTAGACAAAAAGAATTAAACCTGACATGCTTTTTAAGATTTCAAATCTGAATGCAAATCTTACACTAACCCTGGGGTTATCTTAACCCATCTTTGATCAACTGAGCCCAGAGCGATAACTATTGTCCTTTCAGCTGAGGTGGAGGCAACTCTGCCGGGGTTCTATGAAAGCAGGCTCTGACAGTTAATTGTCCCCTCTGGGATAAGGAAACTCTGTTGGCAACAAAGACACCTGGATCTCCTCTCTGTGACAAACTGATTCGATCGAGTCTCTTTCCATGATTCCTTCTCCTGATGGTTCGTTAAATGAAGGAAGTTCAAAGTCTCTACCGTTCATTAGCTCCTGTTCAGTAAAAAAATTCCAGATCTGGGTCATTTCGTTTCGTGAGTTCACTGAGAATTTTCGGTTGTGCATCCAGAAATTGACATCAAAGATTTATTAGGGCTATAATCCCTTCAACATCATCAGTTGCTGATGCTCAGGGGGGAGCGCTCTCTCCTGGCGTTTTGTAACTCTCTACTCTCCAAGTTTGCTACCAGGCCCACAATAGTTTCTTGAGTAAAGCCGCAGATCCCCTTTATAGGCCTTGACATGATATACATATATAAGAAAGGATTTCATACAACTCAAAACAAAGTTCTCTTTATGCCAGTAAGTGAACCAAAGACAAACTCTGTGCATTATCAATGATTAACGAATTTATCCAATTTATAGTGTTACCCACCTTTTTAACAACTGGGGTCAGTTGGTAAAGCGAATGTGATATTTGGTAAAGCAGTTAATGGGTAAATAATAAAGAAGCCATTCACACATGTATGCCATTTCTTTTTTTGGCCTCACAAAATGCATGAAAGTTTGCTTTTAAGGATCCCACAATTCAAAATTTCCCTAAAAGGTCATCAGATTCCTTCAATAAATGGGGCTATGCCCCTTTCCACACCCATGCCAAGACAAATCACCTACATGGAATGTATGACTGAAGGTTTTTTTTTTCTACTTTAAATTTCCTGGAGGACCCTGATATCCTATATATTTTTTAAAGGATCATCAAGGGTTCCTCTACAAAAGATAATAAATTAATAGCCCACCTGTTCACATCAATAGTGCTAAAGTCAGGTTGAGGACTGTACCATGGCATCCAATCTGATAACAACCACTCTTTCATGTCCCTACAGTAAGTCGAGCGCTGTTCTTCGGAAAGTCCTCTCCCATCAACTGCTTTGTGCCAGTTGTGGATCAGTCTAATAATGCTGGCCCCACTTGTGTGACCTTTTCGTTCAAGGAATGAAATAACTCCAGGACCAATGAGCCGCTCACAATCAGGAACTGACTGTTTGTTCTTCCCAGTAAGCGCCTCATATGTCAAACCAGTAGCAGGGTCATGCAGAGCATCTCGAAGGTATCTTGAATCAATGCCTGGAATAAGGCCTTCACGAAGACGAGACACTATACGTTTGAGAAGGTGATTATGGTCTTCACAGTGGTGGATTCGATCACCATTAGCATCTTTTTCTGGTTGGTACAGGGTGTCCGAAAAGTTTTCAGGATCACTAGGATGATGTTTCAGATCTTCAGTTTTTTTTCTGCCAAAGTAAATGGCCATTAGTGATTTCATCACATCTTCTGTTTCTTCAGGCTTGTCTGTAAAGATTAAGTTGTGTCAATACGTTTCCTACTCAATTTTGAATATCAAGGGTGATGTTTTGTTTATTGTTCACTCAAATTTATTAAAACTTTTCAGCAAAGGTGCTATGTTGAGCTGTAACCACAGAACTTTCTACATTTATTAAACTACATTGCTTCGTTGGTGTCATTGTACCTTGTGAAAGAAAGGGAGTAGACAGAAAATAATGTCAGAAAGAACAATGGTGGCTTCTACATGGCAAAAATGACCATGCACTTACCACTAAGCCAAGGGGGTGGATCATGCATAAAGGGAAACAGCTTTTTTCTCAGAATAAATAAGGCTCTCTCAAATGGAACTGAGTCATCATTCATGAACGAATGCATCCACACAACATCCTCTACAGGAACCACTGCATGTTGACATAACGGGTTTCCTGTAAGAAAAACATGATTGTAAGAACTATCCAGTGTAAAGCAGTTTTCCTCCGCCTTATTGCTCCGAAGACGACGAAATTGTGCAACGGATTGGATGCAACAGTACATTTTTTAACCTGATTCCATCACTATCCAAGTAAAGGGTTCAACAATCAAGGACTGTATACTTTCTTACAAATCTGACTTTATTCTTCACAAGTCAACATTACACGTTCCGTTCTACGATCCATTTCAATCCAACTAAATTTTACAAAACTGCTGCGTATATTAGCTAAGGAAGTCCACACCCAGATGGGTAATTCTGGCGTGGTCATAATAATCAAATGTGTTGCAAGTTCTTTGCTCACGTTTAACATTGATTCGTGGGCACTGATTTCAACTAATTTCCTATTAAGCGTGGGTTTACTTGACAATTATGGTGCTAATCCTTAAGGCGGTTAAGCTAGTAATACCCGATTAAATACAGCATTGATTAATTCTAAGTATCTTATCCCACGATATTTCCTGTTAGAATCTAAATGCCTATACTAGCGGTGGTGAGATCATGGCTTACTTTATCAACTACTAAAAATTTAAAGAAATAGGAAAATACAATCAAAAGCATTCTAACGTTTCACAACACTCTCCCCCCTTTGACTTATCTGTGAGTCAAGCATTAAGTTAGTTTTCCAACGCGCATCTGCTGCTGCAGCGCGTCTAGGGTTGTGCCTAAGGTTTTTTGTACCCTCTTTTACACTTTCCCGTGTCACTTAGGGTTGAATTTCGGTTTGCACTTCTATTGGGTAGAGCTTCTGAATGGGTCTGGACATACGCAAGGGTTTTCCCTTGGCAATAACTCGAATGTTTGCCCCCTTTACCACATTATCGTTTCCCTTGATAATACTCTCAATAACTGCAAATCTCCACTCTCCATGCCTCTTACTCTCGTTGTACACTGCGACTACATCACCTATCTGTACAGGCCTCAGGTCTTTACTTACCTTGGTCTGATGGAACTCGCGTAAGTCAGTTAAGTACTTGTGCCTCCACCGATTCCAAAAATGCACTTATCTAACGCTCAAATACCTGTATCTCCTAGTGTATCTGCTCTCACCTTCTTCGTCCTCCACGATTTCATCTGGCACTGTTTTGATTCTTCTTCCGAAAATCAAATGCGACGGGGTAAGAACTTCCTCGCCTGCTTCATCCTACTTGTAAGTTAAGGGGCGGGAGTTTAAAGTCCCCCCTACTTCGATCAGCACAGTAAACAATTTGTCAAAGGTCAGTCTTGCGTTACCCAACACCTTTCTCAAACAACGCTTAACACATCCAACCATTCTTTCAAAAAACCCTCCCCACCAAGGTGCTCTCTCTAAGTTGAACTTCCATTCGATCATTTTGCTAGACAATTCGTTAGCGACTTCTGGGTGATTGTAAAGCTTCTTGAGAGCTTTATCAGCGGCTTTGAAGGTTTTGGCGTTGTCAGATGTAATTAAATATAAATATAACATAATTAAGTACCATATCACCCACTATCTACTACCTTTGCAACAGAGGCTGAGTCTTGTACGTCCACAGTCATTACAGTTGACGTCTTTTTCATGTCTTCTTGGCTTTCTGGCGTAGAGGTGATTACCTGGCTTGTTGGCCACCTGCTCTCTTCTTGAGTCAACCAAGAGGGTCCCTTCCACCACAGTTCCTCATCTTTCAGTTTGGAACCCAGCGCTCCTCTTGAACCAATGTCCGCAGGATTGTCTTCTCCCAGGCAATGTCTTCATTCATCTTTAGCTGAAAGCTTGAGGATCTTGTTCACCCTTTTGTCTCACAAATTGTTTCCACTCCCCCCTGTTTTGAACCCAGCAGATTGCCGTTTTACTGTCTTACCAGTATCTGGTACCGTTAAGGGTCACTTGTTCTTCCAGGGCATTCTTCCCCGTGCTCATTAACTGGGCAAGAATTCTTGCGGACATAAGCTCTAGTCTAGGGATAGTCAGTTCCTTTAGTGGTGCCACTCTCGACCTCGAAGTCAACAATCTCACATGAACTCTGTCCCACTTTCGGTAAACAAAGCAAACAACAGCGCAGTACGCTTTGTTACTCACATCACTGAAACCATGCAAGCAACACTCAAGCACCTCTTGTTGTAAACTATCATAAATGCACCTACTAATCGCGATCCCTTTAATCCTAGACAAATGTACAACCCAATCGTTCCATTTCTTTTTAGCCATTGAGTTCATAATCCCAGCCTACACTATCCCGACACAACTCTTGGAACAACATTTTCATGCAGACAATGACGGGACTTTAGTCGGTGGGACTTCTTCTCAAAGTTGAAGTGGATAACATCATTCTCAAAATCCCACGGAAGGCCCAAAGCCTTAGGACAATTTTTACTCACCTCCGGCCCTAGAGTGAACTTCGCGAAAGATTCCTCTTCGGTTGCCACGCTTGCGTTTTCTAGCTTGCGGTTCTCTTCTTACTCAATTAAATCTTTCAACGCCTTGTCGTTGATCGTCCACTTGTGCAATTTAAACCCTCCACTCGCTAGCCTATTTTTGGACTTCTCGTACAACATGAAGGCTTTAGCAGTGTTGTCCTCGCCAGTCACCTGGTCGTCTACGTAAAAGCTTTCAATCATTCTTCTCACAAATTCTGGATCTTCATCTTTAAATTGCCAGATATGGAGTCTAAGCGTGGCATTCAGAAGGAAAGGAGACGCGTGTAAACCAAACACTACACGACAAAAACGATATATGTGGATCTCGCTTGAGGGGTCAATCACGCGATCTAGCCACAAAAACCTCAGGAAATCTCTATCTTCCTTATCCACCTCAATGTTTAAAAAACGCCCTTTTCTACATCTCCAATCAGTGCTACCCTTTTCTCTCTAAACCTCAACAAAATGTCGAGCAGCAATGGGGTAAGAGACGGTCCTTTGTGTAAACAGTCGTTCAATGATGCACTTTCCTTACCTGATTTTGCTGACGCGTCATACACCACTTTCAGTTTGGTTGTTTTTGTCTCTTTGTGTATGACAGCCAAATGTGGGATATGATGGACTCTATCCGCCTTTCCTGATTCTTCCACTCTTTCTATCACTCCTGAAGCTAACTGATAACGGAGTCATACTCTCTCAATACTTCTGGCTCTTTTCTAAGCTTTCTTACCTGTCCTTTCATGTGTGACAAACTCAATTCGTAATTACTGTCTAAAACATCACGCCCTTCTTTCTATGGCAGCTTTACTGAATACCTCTTTCCATTGAATGTAATGTTGTCTACAAATTCCTCGTACGCTCCGTCACTCTTTGTTATTCCTAACGTTTCTACATCCCAAAGAACCTGAACATCTCGCTCTAATCTTCCTGGAACTGTACCATCTCTTCCCATAATATTTACACTAACTGCTCGCTCTCTATCTGTCGACGGACTAGACTCTAAGGGACCGGAAACAACCCATCCCAATTGCATTTCTATGGCTACGGGTTCCCCTACACCTCCCCGGACAACATTGCCAGTTTGAAAACTCCACAAATAATCTGCCCCAATGAGGAAATCTATTTCTAATTGATCTTTGTGTTGGCAAACATCAGAGAGCCATATGTTTGCCAAATGAGGGTAGTTCCCATGCACTAATTCCAGATGCTTGTTCTGATTTCTTGAGGTTTCGCGAACAACAAAAGCTTTGACATAAATTGCGTTCCCTCCCCCTACTGGGGTCAAATGCATTCCGATTACCTCCCTCAAGTTTGAACCCGCTGCTCGCTGTCCAAAGGTGTTGACAGCAAGCCACTCTTTCCGAAGAGTTTCTAAACTAAACATTCGTACCACGTGCACCGTAGCAGAAGAAGTGTGACTGGCGGTAGCAAAAAGCACTCTTATTCGCGCGTTGCACTTCCCTGCTACTTGGCCTTGCGACGTTTGTAAAGCAACACTATTCCCGGTTTCTATGTGCATGTTATTGCCCACTGACTCAACTGTACTTGGTTCACTTTCTGACGCTCCCCCCTCCCCTGGGGATTCGGCACTACAAATAGATGAATGATGTTTCCCTTTACAAAACTTGCAAGTTAAATTAGCTCTACAGTCTCTAGGAAGATGTCCCTTTCAAATGCAACTAAAACAATGACCAAACTTAATTAGTAATTGCTTATGCTCACTGATCTTCTTGACTTTTTGGCAATCCTCATGTTTGTGTCCTCCTAAGCAAAAGGGACAGTTCTGATAGCTCGCTTGTTTTTGAGTGTTCATGGCGTGTTTCTTTTTCATTGACTCGTCACAAGGGCTCCTCGCGTGTCTCGCGCTTCTGTTGTAGTCCTCTCGCAGCTCGACCTTGTGGCCCAGGACATCCAACAACTGCTCCAGGTTCCATTCGTGATGGTCCTCTCCCCATGTGATGGTCAAACGGAGCTGCTCTGGTAGTTTTTTCAACAGCGATGGCACCACGATGGCGGAGTAGGTCTCTTGGTCTACGCCAAGTGCTTCCAATGCCCGGTACTTTGTCTCGGCAAAGTCATACATTGTCCTCAATCGCTGCGTGTCTCGTTCGCCGTAAATCAGCTCCAAGTTCAACAAGTCGTTTGTGTATGTTCTCTGGATAACTTTCTGTTTACTGTAATGTTTCTTTAGAAGTTGTATCGCAGCTTTGTAGTTCGCCGAAGTGAGGGAAAATCCTGCAATCACTGACTGCGCTTGCTCGATCAGGAGGCCTTGCAAATAGGAGAATTTATCTATTTCGGCCAATGTCTCGTTTCGGTCGGTAGCGCTTTCGAAGGAGTCCCAAAACTCCTGCCATTCGCTGTTTCCCCCAAACTTCCATACCTCGAGCTTGGGCAATTTCGCTCGAACTGTAGCAGTCTGCGGGACCGGCCATGGATTAAATGGAGCTTGATTAGCGTGCAAATCTGCGGAGGGGCTAGGCAGCGATAGTGGTACATTCGTAATGTTCGCAACATTCCTGATTACAAT